CGTTATAATAGGTAATGCAAATATGTGTATAATAGCCAGCACAGTTTTTAATTTGTTTACTTAATTCCAGCCAACATAATAATAAAATAAGTTGGTTTAATTTTTAAACAAGAACTACCGCAACCGCACTATAATAATTATCTCTATCGAATTTTATTATTATACATAATAGTTGCTTATGTTTAAGTTGGTGTCTCCGTGGAAATTGTCGTCGTTGTTATAATTAGATTTGCGACATTTGCGTAGGTATTGCGTGTACTGCATCATCGTACCTTATAACTTTTGTCAGTAATCAATGGTTAACTCAATGCCCGACCAGACTTTATGGTTATGGCGGATTGAGTGCTTTAGRCCGTCACGTCGTATATCCGATATGCCTTTTCGTATATGTAAGCAATTTAAAGTCATAGGCCGTGTTTGATTACCTATCTAGCAAGTCGGTCATCATCGGCAATAGTCTATAGCAGGGATCGGCAACTGGCGGATGGCAAAACTATGGACCCTGTCAACACATTGTACTTCATTATGTTATTTTCTGTAATAGTATTATTATTAATACRGACATTTATTTAATTTAATTTATCAAACTCAGATTATAGTTATATCATAATTCATTGAAAAATAWTTTATCGGGCAGGTAATAATCGGTTTTATTWCAATGTTATCGGCCGACGGCCGAGTCGCAACAATACCAAATATTTCGATTTTCTAAGAACTCCGAAGAACCGACGGCGTAAAATTATATTTATTGCTTATCGTTAACTAAATCGTTAACTATTTAGTTTTAGTACGGGTACATTCGCCGGTGGATACAGTGCGTGTTTCGTTTTATATTATTCGTTCAATATGTTGAGTAAAAAACGCAAAATCGACAGCGAAAATAGGAAGTTTATGAACGAGTGGACTGAACTATATTGTTTTATATTGCCTGAAAGGGTTGGAGCCATTCCAGTCTGTTTAATTTGCAATTCAACTGTTACTATTATTAAAAGTGGAAATTTAAAACGGCATTATGAAACTACTCATAAAGATTTTCATACAAAATTTCCTCCAGGCAGTGAATTGCGTAAAAATAAGCTCCATGCATGTATGTTATCTTACAAAAATAGTACGACTACACTTATACGGTGTATGAGTGAACAAGAGAAATCAACTGAAGCAGCGTTGCGTGTGTGCTGGGTTCTTAATAAGCACCAAAAACCGTTTTCCGATTCCGAAATAGTAAGAGTGTATGTTGGAAGTGGCCACTGCACTTTTTCAAGAAAATAAAAAAATCGTTACCTCTATCCAAGATATTCCTTTGTCGGCAAGGAGTAACACAAGAAGGACAGAAATGTTGGCAGCCGAAAACAAAAAAAGCTTATTTGAACTTTTACATAAGTCACCGTGCTACTGCATTGCGCTTGATGAATCTTGTGACTTAGTTGATTCTGAACAAATGTCAATTTTCGTGCGATTCTTTGACATTGAAAATAAAGTGTTTAGAGAAGAGTTACTAGCAATATTGACATTTGAAGGCAGGACTCGTGGAGAAGATTTATTTAAGAGTTTTGATGACTTCATGAAAAAATCGGATTTGAGTTATGATAAAATTGTGTCAATTTCCACTGATGGAGCTCCAGCGATGATGGGAAAAGAAAAAGGATTATTAAAAAGAATCCGGGATATTAACTTATCAATGCATAATTCACCAAACATCACTTTGTAGTAAACTCAGTGCTACACTGAAAGACGTTATGGACGGTTTGATCAAGTTAACCTAACCTAACCTAACCTATAGACTCTATAGGTAACTGACTATAATATTTTAGACAACACGTTGAACAACAATAAGTAACATTGCAGTGTTTCGCAGAAACTATAGTTTAAATATTATATATTATAGTCATAAGATCACATAATATAATAATATATGAAGATCGAGTGTAGTCACTCACATGGGCGTATACCCTATGCGTTTGCAGACCCTTCGGGCAGACGCTTGGGAGCACACGAACAAATTAGTAACCAAAAGTGTAAGATGAAATGTCATGCTCATTAATTTTAGGATCATTTATATCTGTGGGAGAGGGGCATATTTTATCAGCCGCATACCCTGCAAATAAAGTCTGCGCACGGCTATGGATACAAACAAGTACAATAATACTTAAAAAAGTATTTAAAATACCATTCAAAATACTTCATGCTGAAAGTATTTAAAAAGTTATTCAATAATTAAAAAAGTATTTGAATACTTTTACTCAAATACTTTACAGGACTGATTGTAGATAATACACAGTATCATCTACATTCTTCAGTCGTGGATCCAACTCTTGTACTTAAAAAAAATTCGTCGCGAGTTCGGTACGGATGGGCCTAACTTTTGCGATTTTTGGAATTTTGTATCTAACTCTTGATGGTTAGATTCAAGCAGGGTTACTCTACTATTACTTAAATTTATATTATATTTCAATAATTGCTGTGTAAATAATTAAAATTACATTTGTTTATAAATTATAATATTAGATACTCTAATTTATGATGCAGAGAGCCGGTGTATTTACCTATATTATATTGTAAAATAAAAATAGCTAATAGGAATAGATTCTACTGATTCTAGTGATCTAATGTTGTTTTGTGATTTATTCTTCGGTCATTGTTAATTTGTGTATTTTGACCAATTATTATTAGTATAATTATATATATTAGTATATTAATTATTAGAATAACCCCTTCCACGTCAGCCAACATTGACGTCGCGGATGATTACATAGACAGCGCTAGTGCGCTACAAATGATGTCCATTTGACCATTTGATTGCGATCCGTATCAGCATTCAGCACGCGTACGGCATACCTGTTGCCGGCGTTATCACCGCAGTTGTCACTTGCTGAAGTGGTGTCCACGGCGGAAGACGGATTAAAGACCTAAGAAGCTTAATGTTGTAGTAAGTTCACCATGATTTAAGTATTCTTAAGACATTTTTCTGAAATTTAGTTTTATTGCGTCCTCGGACGTTACTCGTTCATTGAATTCATGTTTTTCTTCTGTCGACAGGACAACTAAAACATATATTATTATACATACCATTGACGTCCATACATCGTTGTCAGCAAACATGATCCGGTCCAACATATTGAAAGTAATAATCACAAACATAATATTAAAATATGTATAGCATTCAAATACAGTCAAATAGTCTGTGAGTTGGTATAAAAAAACCTTTGTGTTGAATGTATTTACCGCAAAAAGTGGTTATCGCCAGATAGTAATTTTCTTGATGTAGGTAGTGATGTACTTATCTATTCTTATTTCAAATATTAGATACAAAATATTAAATACTTGTACAAATAATTGATTTTTATTTTCTTGATAAAAATAAAATATTTATTATTTATTGGTATAATATAAATACAATGTTTAACAGCTAAATCATGGGTAAAACATCCAATAACGCTACCTACTTAAACTATATACATTTTTTTTTGTGTTATGTAACTGTTTAGTGGGTAATTATTCAAACCGAGGTCAAATTATAGTTTCTATATTTCATTTTTCTATTTGATTAGAAACCGGATCGATTATTATTTGTCATACTATTCTATCAACTTTTAAAAAGTGTTTCCAGAATAAAATACTTTAATAAGGTTTTTTTAATTAGATAAATATTATTACTTTAGATAAGTCAGTATTCTTTTACATTGCATCTATTTCAATAAATACTATTACAATTATTTATGTTTATCATATTTATTATGTACATATTAGCTACCTACTTGACATTTACCACTTAGGTATAAATTATTTACAGGTTATTAACGGAAGTTATTGATTAATTATAAAGGATTTACATTTTCATGATATCTAATTATTTAAAGCGGTGTTTAGAACATGGTTATCTAGTACCTACTAGTAATGAATAATGATACTATTATAAAATTGAAAAAATAAAATATTCATATATCTATGATCATTAATCCATTTCAACATACATGTTTTTTATTATTTCTGTATTAATTGCACATACTATTAGAAAATTAGGTCTATAATACTTACATTTGAATACTCAAAATATTGATACCTTTAAATTATTTTTAATTTGTATAGTAATAAAAATAAGTTAAATAAGTAATTACCTATAAATCTAAAACTAGTTTAATATATTTGGGATTAATATAATTATTATTTTGCATACTTGGAGAACAAATATCAAATTATCATCACATATCTTTTAGAACCTATCTAATTAGTTAATTTTTAATAGTATATCAAATGTAATCCATTTTATCTACAATGGTTGTTCGAAATAAGTTCCTAACTCTACAGTTTTATTAACTTATCTAAGATCAGAGGTTATAAATCATTAAAATACAAGTAAAGACGTCAATGTTCAAATCTAACAATAATTAGTATCAAATGTATTTATAGTTTATTTTAAGCATTTAATAAATATTTGATTAATATGTTTTTTTTTTTTTTAGAAAAATGTATTTCAACAAGCAATTAGATTCAATGCAACATGTAGTGCTATTCCAAAAGTTCCAATGTACATAGATGGAACGTTTGTTGAATCAAAAACAAATGATTGGATAGATGTACATAATCCTGCTACAAATGAAGTAATCTTATTAATTTTACTAGTATAAATATAAATATTCTTGAATATAGAACAGTCTTGTTAATCTAAACCCTATACGAATCACTGAATATCTGGATTAAACAAAATTAAATGAAATTAGGAAAACACACTGTGGGCCAACCACTGATATCATAATGTAATGGTTCTTATACTAAAGTAGCCATCTACACAGTTTGTTTACAAATTGTAAAAAATAAAAATAAATTTGCATATACAATAAAAATCACCATAGATTTGAAAACAATTGACAATTTTTTTTTATTGGTGTTTTATGCGGGTCTGTAGTAACCAGATGTCCGAACTAGCAATGCTAGGATAAGCTAGACTACAATATTTCCATTACATTATTTTTTAATCAATTTATTAGGTCATTTCTAAAGTACCAAAATGTACACAAAGTGAAATGGAACATGCAGTAGAATCATCCAAAGCAGCTTTTAAGTTGTGGTCAAAAACTTCAGTGATGAGAAGACAACAAATCATGTTTCGTTATCAGGAAATCATCAAAGCTAATATGGTAAAATTATTTTTATAGTTTTATAGTATTCAATTTCATTAGTTCATTTTACATATTTAAAATGTATTTTCAGAAAAAATTATCTGAGAACATAACCAAGGAACAAGGTAAAACCTTAATTGATGCAGAAGGAGATGTAACTCGTGGACTTCGTAAGATTTTTTGATGTTTTATTTTATTGTAATACACAAATCACAAGTATATAATTATGTCAATTTAATGATTATGTTGTTCTTCAGAGGTTGTTGAAAATTGTTGCAATTTTACCAGCTCAATCATGGGTGAATCATTACCGTTAGTAGCTACTGATATGGACATACATTCTTATCGTGAACCTCTTGGAGTAACAGCTGGCATTGCTCCATTTAATTTCCCTGCAATGATACCCTTATGGATGTTTCCTGTTGCTATTTCTTGTGGAAACACATTTGTTATCAAGGTAAATATGTGCATTTTTTAATTTGCCCAGATTTAACAGATGTCCAGATCTGTATATTTATTAATCTGACATTTATCAAACATTCTTTTACTTAATGATTATTGATTGTTAAGATACTGTTAAATCATTATTTAGTTAGTGATAGGCAATAACTAAAAAGTAATAACACCTAAGTTTTTATTAGCAATATTTTAAATTAAATGTATTACTAATGTTTTTTTCAATTTTTATTAGCCTTCAGAAAGAGTACCTGGCAATTGTATGATGCTGGTAGAAATGCTGTCAGAAGCTGGCTGCCCACCTGGTGTTGTAAACATAATTCATGGCAGTGTAGACACCGTGAATTTCATATGTGATGCACCAGACATTAAAGCAATTTCATTTGTTGGTGCAAATACTGCGGTAACTTACAGTTTTGATGTATTAGTAATTAGTATATTAAGTGCTAATATATTGTGTATAGGGTGAACATATTTACACTCGAGGTTCTAAAAATGGTAAAAGAGTGCAAAGTAATATGGGTGCAAAAAATCATGGTGTAATAATGCCTGATGCAAACAAGACTAGCATGCTGAATTCATTGGTTGGAGCTGCATTTGGAGCAGCTGGACAGCGGTGTATGGCATTAAGTACGGCTGTGTTTGTTGGTGATGCCAAGAATTGGCTTCCTGAATTGAAGAGTCGTGCTGAAAATTTAAATGTCAATGCTGGTAAGTAAATTAAAGTAATCTATGTTAGTTTTTATTTTAGTTACTATTTATAAAGAATTAATATTAATTCATTATTTTACATTTAAGGTCATGTTCCAAATACTGATGTAGGACCAGTTATATCACCAGAAGCGAAAAATAAAATCCATAATTTAATCCAATCTGGTATTGATGAGGGAGCTAAAATTCTTTTGGACGGAAGAAACATAAGTGTGCCAGGCTATGAAAAAGGAAATTTTGTTGGACCAACTATTCTCACAGATGTGAAGGTAAAACTAATATTGTAATGATAACATTTATGATAAACTTAGGACTATATCTATAATTCATCCCACTTTTTTGGAAAAGTATGTCAGAGAAGGTGATTTTCTCTCAAAGGATTTTAAGTTATTTGTTATTTTTATAGTTAGATTTTTTTTTAACTACCTATATTGTTTTTTTTTTCATTTTACTACAATACAGCCACACATGAAATGTTATACTGAAGAAATATTTGGACCAGTGTTGGTGTGCTTGACTGCTGATACCTTGGATGAAGCGTTGAACATAATTAACTCAAATCCATATGGTAATGGTACAGCTATATTTACAACAAATGGAGCAACAGCTAGAAAGTTTACTCATGAAGTTCAATGTGGAAATGTAAGCATATTTTTATTTTTATTTCGGAATTATACATGTAATATTGATTTGTATTTCCATTTAGGTTGGTGTAAATGTTCCCATCCCAGTTCCATTGCCAATGTTTTCATTTACTGGTACACGAGGTTCATTTTTGGGACAAAATCATTTCTATGGCAAACAAGTAAGTGTTATTTTGTTGGTTTAAACTATTCAAAGTTATATAGGAATGTATACATAACTTATTTCTCACAATGGGATTATTTTCTCTTTAGGGTTACCACTTTTTTACGGAATTGAAAACAGTTACACAACTTTGGAAAGAATCTGATGCCACAGATACCAAAGCAGCTGTTTCTATGCCTGTGATGCGATAATTTTTAACATAAGTCTGATATTTTATAGAGTTTATAATATAATCTTGTTTTTGTTATTATAATTTTTAATAAAAAAAAAATGTAAATTACAAGTATTGTTGAATATTTTATTAATTCTTTTAGTATTATATTTCCCAGTTTAAAAAAATTAAAAATGTTGCTAAAAACTAAAAAAAAATATATCAATTATTTAGAATATTATTTTTAGTCTTTAAGAGGCTACACTTAAGAAGATGTTACACCCACATTTGTTGTTTCACATTATAAAATTTAAATTGACATAATATTATTTTTAAGTAAGTTATTACTATTTTAAAATATACAATTTTAAAAATCATGGGTTTTAATACTAATTGATCAGTCTTGTACTCTTGTGTAACTATAGTGCCGTTTTTATGAACCATTTGTTTATCGCGATGCTGGATTTTAATTTTCAGGTACTTAAACTTAAATTTCTGTATTTGCACAAGTATTAAGACCTAATATATGATTTATAGAAACAAATTATGGGAGCATATATTTATATGTTATGGGTTCCCATATTGATATATAAGTGTGGATACATTAAGAGTTAATTAAAATGCCTAACAAATGTTTTCTGTCATGATACTTAGCTGGCATAGCCAGTTATAACAAAAAATTAAACTTGGAAAATAAAAAACTGCCAGTTAAAAAAAAGTGTACAAAGTGTTCACTGTAAAAATGTACACTGCGCATTATCTTATATAAACAAATACATTGTATTTATACACAATATTTTCCAGGCACCATAGTCAAAATAATTTTAAAAAATAAATGATAAAGTTAAAATTAATAAATAAATGATCAATCACTAGATATCGAAAAGTATTTAAAATATGTATTCGAACAGTCAACAAAAAATGTATTTGAGTACAAATAAAAATACTTGAAAAAAATACTTATAAGTTACAAGTGCCAAATGTCTATCGATCTAAAAATGAACAATAGCTCATTTTGTGAAATTAGAAAAGGGTACCTAATACTATAGGCACAATAGGCACATAAAACAAAAATCGCGTAAAATTTTGGCATTCCCATAACAACATATAGTCAACCATAACTATTATTAATATTATTATATAAATAACACAATAACAATAGTATAATATAATATATATTAATTATTAATATAAGTTCTTACTCAGATCCGGTGTTCGTACAAATTAAGCTTGAAAATAAGGAGCAAGCGTTTTTTTAAATGATGAATACCTACCGTCAGCCGTGTTTTTTTTGTATTTTATGAACCACATATTTGTCTTCGAAGATATAAAAGTATATACCTAACGTGAATTTAGTTTAAAATTTTCGATTTGTTTACAAGCTACATTTAGAAACCTTTAAAAAAACTGCCACCCGACGTGTTGGTATTGCTTTGTGATTCAACTATTCGAATGTCATTTTGTATTTTCAAATTGTGTTGTTAGTTTGTGGCTTGTCGCTTATGAAACTAAGGTTTTAGTTTTCAATTTTGATAATAATCATTAATGGCCATAAATTGTAACGTATGTTGGTATATAGTAATATTGTATTTGTGTACTCAATACCTTATAGGTACTCACTCCTACAATGTTTGACTTTCGTTTGTTTCTTTGTTACTGTAATAGTGTAATATAATTTATAGTATAAAAATATACAGTTTTAATTTTATAATTGAACGTATGTAGTATAAGTGCATAACTACCTATATAGTTTGTTCTTTGTTATTTGCTAGTTAGGTTAGTCAATATTTTACCCATAATAAGTACCTTTGAATTGGCTTCTTACTATTTTTTTTCAAAAATTATTTGGTTACCAAAATGTTGTCAATATTTTAATGTAAGGTTATATAACATTATGTAGTATAACACATTTTTATAAAAGTTTATACTAGATGTTATGTAGAATAATATAATAATGATAACTTATTAAGTTTTAATTATATTTTTATGCATGTGTTTATTATAATTTATAAGAGAAATAATAATAAATAGATACCTATATATAACTATAGTCACTATTATTAATATTTATAATATATGTATATATAATATATATGTTACAGTAAAAGATGTTAAATTTATATTTACGTWATTAACTAGCAATTAASGTTAATAGATAATAATAAATATTTTACAAGGCTTATAACGTTAATAACTAAGGATTTACGTTAATTCCAAACAATATTAGTTAATCATGTTATTTGTATTTAAATTGTTATATTATTATTTATTTTCACATGACAATRAACTGTGACATTTTGAATTGCATAATTTTCCTACTAATCGACAGGTGTATTTATTTGTTTTACACTTCATTTTACAGTGACATCTTTGATAGCCTTGTGTGCCCATAAGACTACTACATCCTGCTGCTTCTCGAAGTGTTATCTCTTTTTYTTTARATGATTCAACCAGAGTTTTGAGATCAAGCAACATTTCTTTGCATGGCACAAGTTGAGATCTCGTATACTTGTGTTTAAGAAAACCATTTTCGGTACCTAATTCAAATATAAATACATAAATACCTATAAATTTAATTTTTCATTAACATTTTCCATCGTATGTGGAAATTATCGATAATCAAACCAAAAAAATAATAAACCACGATAATCTCTAGCTAATTAGGTAATTATTGTTATTTACTAGAAAATAACGTTATTTTGATGTTTAACATCATTTACTGTAACATATATATATATATATATATATATACATACAATAGTTAAGTGGGTTGTGGGCATGTGTGATATATACGCCAGCATTATACATTATATTATATTATATTATACATTACCTACTTAGTAGGTATCGCCAACACTATAGTCTATAGCAGTGGCGTGTATCCAAAAAAAAATTGGTGTTGCTCAAATAATTTAACCCTTATACTTATGTAACACCTAGTACCTACTGATAAAATGTCGCTAAATTGTATTCCTATTATTTAATGTAATACTAATTTAATTTAGTAAATTACATTATTATACTAGTTGTGCATCGGTTTTAAAAAAAAATATATAAATAAAAAAAAGCGGATACCGCTCTGCTGTACATTAGAGGGGGAAGGGGGTTGACCTCTAAATAGGGTGATAGGTATCATTGTATACGAAAAACGATTCTGAACAGAGATGATTTGTCAGTCTAGGATATAGGTATTATATAA